GATTTCTTCTCTCAACTCTGAAATTTCCAAACTACATTCATAAAGACTGACAGGAAAAGCTACGTATTGAATTTTAAGACCTATTGCAGACAATATAAATTTTTTCAAAACAGAGAGGTGGGTAAAGGGGGTTGAGTGGGGGCAGGGGATTTTACCACTTGTGTTTGAGATGGCTCCAAAAAGAAAGTGACTCAAAATTTCCTGGTAGTGAAACTAGTTCGTTTTCCAGGATTCATTGTGAAATTCCTGGCCCAATGTTCAAAGTGAGATTAGAGTGAATGAGTCCTCTTAGCTAAGGCACATCTCCAAGTTAAGACCAGCTCTTTCCCATGATGAGCCAAAGGAGGAACATGTGAGGAACTCCCAAAACACAAGTTTCAATCTCCCCCAGCAAGAACCACTCTCGCCAAGTGCAGACTCTGTACTCTATTAGAAAAAGGGTAAGAGACTGTTCTGCAAAATGTGCCTACACTTACCCGTTTTTAGCAAACCCACACTCATTCTTTCAACCTTTGCTTATTCATCATGGCCAAAGAACAAGCTCCAAGGTTGGACACTGGGTATTCAACAATAACAAGACATGGTTCCCAAGTGTCTGAAGCTCACAAGTTTTCTGGGATACCTTATTCATTTGCTTTAAAGGTATCAGAAATTAATTAATTTAAAATATCTGAGGAAGTCCTAGCCATATCGATTAGGCCTTTAATTAGAGAAATTAAAGGGATTCAGTTGGAAAAAGAAGTCATCACACTACCACTGTTTGTAGAATGACATGATAATATGCATAGCCACAAAAAGACTACAAAAAGAACTTTTGGAAACTATAAACCAAAACAGCAGGCTACAAAATCTACACACTAAAATCTTTTAGTGAACTTGAAGAGAAAGAAGGCAGCAGGGAGTTGAGGAAGTCACTTAAAAATATGTCCAGGGAGAACTTGTATTGCCTCAAGTAAGTATTATTACTTATTTGTTTCAGATAGCACCGTCTGGAGGGCAAGAGCGATTCCAGGGTAAACTGAAGAACCATTTACTTCCACTAAACTCTGGTCTGATGTTAGAGATTTGGAAAGAGTACAAGGCGCCTAAAAAAAAAAATCCAACTTTTGGAGGACAACAAGGTATTTTGAAGCCACAGCTCTTCAAGTTGGTCGGCCATTACCTCATTTTTTTGAAATAAGTTTTCTTAGCCTTCAATATAATTGTGTCCAGAAACATAAAGTACCCAGGAATCAAGAGAGGGTGAAAGACTTAATGTTCATTGAAAACTTTGCAGAGTCAGGAGTAAATAAACTGCAAGTAATCCCTTTGCACAGTCAGGAGTAAAAGAACTGAAACCCCAGAAATAACCCCTCAGATCTGTACATGAACAGTAAATTTAAGACAAAGAAGCTAGGAGCATTAAATTGGGGGGAAGCGGGGAGGAGTCTTTATAACAAAGGTATTGGAAAAACTGGTTAGCTACATGCAAAAAAAGAAAAAGAAACTTCTTTTTTCACACTCCACACAAAAATTAATTTTAAATGGATTGAAGGCCTTAATATTACACCAGAATTCATAAAATAAGGCAAGGAAACAAGAGAACTCTCCATGATACTGCCTGCAGAGGTATCTTCAATTAATGCACTACACTGAAAAAAAAAACCAAAAACATAGAAAATCAAATGGGATTACATCAAACTAAAAATTTTCTGCATAGAAAAAGAAACTCAGGCTAAAATAAAAAGACCCCCTATTGAATGGGAAAAAATATTCACACACCACACACTAGCAAAGGGCTAATATCCAAGATAAAACACTCACCAAACTCAACAACAAAGACCAACAACCCCCCAAAAATGGGGAGAGTAGCTGAACAGACACTTCTTCAAGAAGACATACAGATGACTAACAAGCATATAAAAAAAGTGCTCATCATCTTATATTATCAGAGAAATGCAAATCAAAACAATGAGATATAAAAAAAATGAGATATCAGCTTGCACCAGTGAGAATGGCATACATCAAGGCACTGAAAGCAAGTAGTGCTGGTAGAGATGTAGCAGAAAGAAACTCTCAGTCACTGGTGGTGGGAATGTAAACTAGTTCAGTATGGAAAGCAGTGTGAAAACTCCAAAAGTTGAAAATAGTTTACAGCACAAATATGACCAGCCCTGGTTTGGTCTCTGGCACTACACAGATCCCAAAGCACAATGCGTATAGCCCTGGGAGGCCCTGACCATGGCCAGGCATGACCCTAGTGGCCCTTGAGCATTCTCAGGGTGGTCCTGATGATCACTGGTACCACAGGAATCCAGCAGCTCCTCATCCTTGGGCCCTAGCGTTTAGCCATCATGCCAGTTGAATGAGGAACCCCAGGAACCCCTCAGCACCACTTGAAGAGCCCCACCACCAAAAAATAAAACTAAAAATAGTACTCCCACATAACCCAGGGATTCCACTTCTTTATGTCTATTCCAGGAATCCGAAAGCATTCATAGAAAATGATGTATTCATACCTATGTTCAAACTTCAGCACTATTTACAATAGCCTAGATCAAGAACACCCAAATATCTAAGGGGAGATGAATGTAAAAAAAAATTGTGGTATTCTGGACCTTGCACCAGATCAATTTCATAGGGGTGTCTCAGACAGGAGCAGGCGTCATCCTCCCACCTCCCATATGAATCCCCATGGCTGCAAACCTCCAGAATCCAATGAAAACCCCAGGTGCGCAGGACCAGTGACTGAAAACTTCAGGCCTCAAGGGATCAGGGATGCATCACTTCTTCCCATCTCCCTGCCCCTTCTGGGTCCTGGCTGTCACACCCACAAAATGCTTCAGGGTTCTGTTTAAGCGCATTAACAGCCATGATCCAGAGACTCACAAATGAATCTCAGAATCAAGCAGCTTGCTGCAGAGATGTCTCCACACTCCAGTTATTTAAAATTTTAGAATTCCAGGAACAGGCACTCACAAAAGCAGCCATATGACATCTCATGCTATTCATAACTAGCAATATAAAATAAATTATCTGTGTAAAAATAAAAAAAACATCTGCCTGTGGGGAAGGCTTGAGTGGTGGTGGGAAAATTCGAAATAATGGTGGTGGGAAGGTGTAATGGTGGTAGGGTTGGTGTTGAAATACTGAATGTAATCAATTATTTTGAACAACTTTATGAAAAATAAAATTAAAAAAAAAGAAATTGTGGTATACATACACAATGGACTTACTACCCAGCTATAAGAAAAGATAAAATCCTACCTCTTACTACCAGTTGCCAGTTGGATGGAATAAGAGGATATTATGTTAAGTGAAAGAAGTCAGAGGGAGGAAGACAAATACTGGATGATCTCACTTGTATGTGGTATATAAGGAAATGTAACAAGGGAGCGGAAAACAACAAATGAAAATAAGCCCTTGGACTCTGACAACAGAACTGAGGTTACCAAGAGAAGAAGTGGACAAAGGGAGGGGAAGGGACCAGAAGTAACAAAAATCCAGAAGTGAAGGGTCTTTGGCACACTGGTGATGGTGATGTAGAACTTTTGAACACTATCACTGCAAACATTAATACAATTATAAAAATAAATACAAAATATCTGAGTATGAGCTGCAGAGGCAGTACTGGAAGGAAGGAGCTTATCTTGTATGGGGCAGGCCCTGATTCAATCCAGGTACCACAAGAGGTCACGCCTGAGTACAGAGCCAGGAACAACCCCCGAGTATGTTGGATGTGCCCCCCTCATGGCCACTGCACAAATTTGAGACCCCTGATATGCCACATCCCCAGGATATTAAACAAATTCAACTGGCTCATGGAGTGTATATGCTAGTCAGAAAGGGGGGGGGGGGGAGAGGTAAACATGATTTTCAGAGAGTTAAAGCTATTTTAAAAGCCAAGTTATGGGAAGGAAGAGACTCAGTGGTCAGATGGTCCCAGGGAGGGGATTCTCTTTGAGGAGGAGAGTATGGGCCCTAAGCTTCAGGCTGAGAGACCACTGGTGGAAGACACCAGGAAACAAAGGGGAATGCAGTGATAGCCCCCTCACTGAGAGCAAGCATTGAACACTTAGCCTATGATCAGGAACGATCCCCAACCCAGTCCAGGGTTCCTCAGGGTTATGAGGTGCTGTGAAAAAGTACACACAGTCAGAGCAGCCCAGGGAGGTCAGGGAACTCAGGTTCAGAGGGAACATGTGAATAGCTGGACAATATCATGTGCCATTCTCAGAACACTGCAACTCCCTGGAAAGATAGCAACGACAGTGGAACTATGGCAGGTGGTGAAGATTCCTGCCTTCCTTTCTCTAGTCTCCCACAGTTCTGCAGAGGCTGGAGGAGGCCCACACCCCTGGTGGGAGGAGGTTAACAAAGGACAAGTGTGAGCCAGTAGTACAGCCCTGGGCAACATGCCAGGAAGTCACATCCCACACAATCCCCATGTAACTGTAGGCAAGTCCTTCCCTGTTTGCAACCTCCCAGTTCCCCATCTGCCAAACTGGAGGTCTGGAGCCTGGGCATGAGCCCAGCAACCACACTTTTATTTTTAATTTTTATTAGTGAAACACCATGAGGTACATTTATAGACTTACAAATTTTTGTGCTTGGGTTTCGATTATACAATGATCAAATACCCATCCCTCCACCAGTGCCCATTTTCCACCACCATGGATCCCAGTATCACTCCCACCCCATCCCCCCATCCCACCCTGCCTCTGTGGCAGGTCATTCCCTTTTGTTTTCTCTCTCCTTTTGGCAACCACACTTTTAATACCTTCTCCCACCCATGCCTAGGATGGATATGGGTTCGGACAATGAATGATCTGTGTGGTACTCGCCTAATGGACCCCCGCAGAGACGGAGCCCCATGAAATCTTCCTTGGTGCCAAGCACAGTATCCAGCACTTAGCAGCTCCTCATGATGGGTTCTGAAGTCGGTCCCCCACTCCCACCCTGGGGTTCCCCAGCGAGGCTGCAACCCCAGAACTGTGGGTTTTGTTCTCCCCACACCATACCTGTGAACATCGCACAGAAGTAAGGGCTGCAGGCGGCCAGGACCACGCGGTGGGCTTCGATCTCCACATCTTCTGCCACAATCATCACATCACACAACAGCTGCTTACTGTAAGAGACCAGTGAGGGGACAGGATGGGTCACAGCATCAAACCCAATCCCACAGTATCCAAGTACCCCTGCCCAGATGCCACCCCGTTGCCCTAAAAGGCTGTCAGAGAGACTTGTTGGATCTTGAGGCAGCCAACAGAATGGACTTTTTTTAAAAAAAAACTTTTCCAAGTCTTTTAAAGTGTCATCCCTGTTGCTAGAAGAGGCTGTGTCCTTGCTTTGTTCTGTCACTGAAAATTCCAGGCTACTCCTTCTGTCTTCTCTCTCTAACCCCTCTACATCAGCTACTAGTAGCAGTGGGAAAAGTCTGAGACAGTCAACTGAGCTTGAGTGTGTCAGCAGAGAGACATACTAACACTTCCCCTAGTGGATCCACTACTTATGAAGTTCTGCTCAGAGACCAGCCATACCTGGGGGTCTTGAGGATTCTCCTCCCACCCTGACTGGGCACCGTTACCACAAAGACTATACCTGCACATACTGTTCTCCCAGAGACCCTCTGCCAACTCCAATCCTGACAATCTTCTAACGACCCTTGGACTTGTCACCCCACAACACTGTGGGTTCTAATAGAGGTTTGTTTACTATTATCCCAACTGCTGGCCACATGCCCAACACATAATAAGCCCGTATATTGTCTTTGAGTAAATCAGTAGATTTGGAAATGGGATCGGTTCATACACATGACCAGAATGAATATTTGACCACCTTGGGGAAAAAAGATGCCATAAAACACCTTGGGGAAAAAAGATGCCACAAACGCATGTCAACCAAGAATTCTTCCTTCACTACTTTTGTAAGATTTTATTATGCCTACTACTAAGGTAATGTTTAAACTTTTTTGTTTTATATTGGCCAGAAACCATTATAAGCACTCTTTTACATATACTAGTTCCTCTAATTCCCTGTAGAATTCTATGAGGTAGCACTATTACCATGACCCATACTACAATAAGGAAACTGACCCCTAGGAAAGTTATGTAACTCTTCCAGGGTCACACAGGAAGGGGAAGTGGAGAGAGGACTGAGTGTAGATAATTAAACCTCAAAGTTCTTACTTTGGGGGCAGGAGAGATAGTACAAGAGGTAAGGCCCATTGCCTTGCATGCAGCCAAGCATGGCTCAATCCCCAGCATCACATATATATGGGCCTCTGAAACCTCCAGGGATCACTCCTGAGCAGACCGTCAGGAATAGCCCCAGAGCAACACCAGGTATGGTCCAAAAGCAAAAATTCATACCTGTTATTTCTGTGGTGCCCTGGTCACTACCTTAGATTATAGCACCAGCCCCTCCTTTAGATTAAGCACTAGAGGTAGAGAAAGACAAACAAACCCATTTTCCACTGGTCTAAGATGCACACCTAAGTTATGACTTGTTCCACGTGCATGCTGAGATGGACAAAGTCTGCCACAGCTAACAGATGAATGACAGCCTGAATCTTTGTCATCTCTGGTATAACATTAAACCATCGCCAACTATTCAAACTTTGGTGCAGGGGCTGGCGAGACAGCACAGGCATCAGAGGTGTATGCTTTGCATACTTTTGATTCTACTTTGACCCCGAGCACTGTAAGACCCTGCCCCAACAACATCAGGTTTATTCCTGAAGGCCTCCAAGAACAACTCAGCTGGGAATAGCCCCTGAGCACCATTGGGGTAGCCCTGCTGGTTCCCCGCACCACACAGATCTGCATCCTGGGACCCTTCCATTTAGCTACCCAGCCCAATGTACCAAATATAGCAGGGAGTAGCCCCCAGGCTCTCGGAGCACTGTTTGGGAGACACCCAAATATATTAAATTAATTTTGTGAACTTAAATGTTAGATCGTATTCACTTCTCAGGGAAATAGAGCCATAAAGTCTGAGAACGCTGGAGTGTTAAATACCCCCTGGAGATCTGAAGGGAAGATGGAACCAAAGTCCCAAAAGTCAGAATCTTTAGTTCTAAACACAGCAGCCCATTGTATCAAAATGGGATGACACTTAAAATAGGAACTGAGGGTGGCATGTGCGGCTGGCCTTCAAGCCACGGAGTGAACCTCCTGCTACTTATCTCGGCTATTCTTGGGTGTTAGTTTCCTATTTTGTTACTTTATGTTCCCTAGATGAACGCAATCTTTCTGTGTCTGTCTCCCTCTTTCTGACTCATTTGGCTTAGCATGATACTTTTCATGTAGTACCACTTATATGTAAATTTCATGACTTTATCTTTTCTAACAGCTGTGTAGTACTCCATTGTGTAGATGGACCAAAGTTTCTTTAACCAGTCATCTGTTCTCGGGCACTCAGGTTTCTTCCAGATTCTGGCTACTGTAAACGGTGCTGCAATGTACAAACAAATGCAGATGTCACTTCGACTATACTTTTTTGCCTCTCTGGGATATATTCCCAGGAGAGGTATTGCTGGGTCAAATGGGAGCTCAATTTCTAATTTTTTGAGAATCGTCCATACTGTTTTCCAAAAGGGCTGAACCAGTCGGCATTCCCACCAGCAGTGAACGAGGGTCCCTTTCTCGCCACATCCGTGCCAACGCCAGGCAACTAGTATTTTTAATATAGAAAGTATTGACACAAATAGATCAGAAATGCTGAGTAAATGCCAGTGCTAGTAGCTGAACTAATAGATGTCAGAGTGAGAAAGAGTACGAAGACCCAAGAACAACATTTCATGAACAAATGGGAAAGAGACAAGGAAGGCAGAAAGAAGATAGAAAAACCAGTTATGCAAACAAATAAGAGCAGTTATGATGAGTAGGAAGTATAACCTCTGGCCAGGGGAACTGTTACCTGGGAAAGTGACCAAGAAAACGCTGCCAAGAAAAACTACTCGTGGTCAGCTTTCCCTAGGGTGGAAACGCAGGTTGCACATCAGTGAGAACTCCAGTGATCCACTCAGCAGAGCAGAGCAGAGGCAGCTCCTGAGCACTGCATGGTTCAAACACACTTCTCACCCTGTTGACCAGAGATCTCTTGAATCCCTTTTTCTGAGCTATCAACATGACTCCAAAGGACAATCTTGAACTAGGGATATGTGTACCAGCAATAAAGTACTTGTCTTGCACATGAGAGGCCTTGGAATTGAACCCAGGCACTGCATGGAAAAAAATTAAATTAAAAAGAGACAAAGATCCAAAGCAAGAGTACAGTGGGAAGGGCATTTACCTTTCATATGGTTAACTGGAGTTCAATTACAGGCATCTCATATGGTCCCCTGAGAACCATCAGGAGTGCAGAGCCGAGGGTAAGTTACGAGGAAGGACTGCCAGGTATGGTCCAACAACAAAATTAAATAAAGAGAAAAAGAACAATCTTGAGAAGAAAAGAATAGGTCTACAAAGTTTGTGATTTATGGAAAAATACAGTAGAGCTATTAAGCCGTCGGGCCCTGGAATCAAACTGGTCAGGGTTCACATTCCCTGAATGTCAGAGAATTTATGTGCATTATAAGAAAAATAATAAACAGCACTAATTTCAATAAGTCACTAAATGTAAATCTATTTATTTTTTTTCCCACAGAATTTTTCACTTAAGGTTAGAAATTAAGAACTGTGGGGGTATGGTGTTGCCAGCAGGTCAATCTGCACCTGTGAGGCGAGTGCATCACCAGACTGATGGTGCCTTCAGACTTCCAGATACCCCAAAATTGCTGCTGTGCCTTTGACCAGACCCCAAAAACTTGGGGCAAAGTTTACCAAGAAAGTAAACAGCCAAAAGTTAGGTATATGAGAAACATACCCACAAACCAGCTCAGCTGAACTCCGGCTCAGCTATATAAGTGGAGGCATGGCCTTTCTGGTTCCTGATTGAACTGCTTTATGGCCGTGATCCCAAAGACTCAGAAATAAATCTCGAAACCCAGCGACTTTTGGCAGAAATGCGTCCGGTCCCTATAATAGGTTACCAATGCTGGGCCAACCCAGGTGGGAATAGGTTTCGTGCCTTGGCCTGTTCCCCCTGGCGGCCCCGTGGCCACCAACCTCCAGAGGCCACTGGACAGTCAGGTTTGGGCCGCAGTGACGAGACACTCAGGGCCTCATGGGATGGCGGAGGAGCCTGTCCTTTCCCCCCCCCCACACCCCAACGAGACCCCAAGTCATTGCCCACAAATGGCCTCCTGCCTCCTGATCAAGCTGCTTAACGGCCATGATCCTAGAGACTCAGAAACAAATCTCTAAACCCAGTGGCTTTTGGCAGAAATGCGTCTGGAACCCACAGCAGGTTACTGTCGCTGGGCCACCCCAGGGGAGAACGGGTTTTGTCACTTCGCCTGCTCTCCCTTGGCGGCTCGTTGGCCATCATCCTCCAGAGGCCATTGGACAGTCAGGTTTGGGCCCACAGTGACAAAACTTGTTGGGCCTCATGGGATGGGGTAGGGGGAGCCGGGCCTGTCCTCCCCACCACAACGAGACCCCCAACTCATCGCCCATGAACGGCCTCTCTGGCTCCTGATCAAGCTGCTTAACGGCCATGATTCCAGAGACTTAGAAACAAATCTCGAAACCTGCGGCTTTTGGCAAAAATGTGTCTGGACCCCGCAGTAGGTTACTGTCGCCGGGCCACCCCAGGGGGAAAAGGGTGCTGTCCCTCTGCCTGCTCCCCCTTGGTGGCTTAGTGGCCACCATCTTCCAGAGGCCATTGGACAGTCAGGCTTGGGCCCACAGTGACGAGACATGTTGGGCCTCATGGGATGGGGGTGGAGCCAGCCCTTTCTTCCCCACCCCAATGAGACCCCAAGTCATCGCCCACAAATGGCCTCTCTGGCTCCTGATCAAGCTGCTTAACAGCCATGATCCCAGAGACTCAGAAACAAAACTCGAAACCCAGTGGCTTTTGGCAGAAATGCATCCGGACCACACAGTAGGTTACTGTCTCTGGGCCACCCCAGGGGGGAAAGGGTGATGTCCCTCCACCTGCTTCCCCTGGCAGCTCGGTGGCTGTCATCCTCCAGAGGCCATTGGACAGTCAGGTTTGGGCCTGCAGTGACGAAACATTTTA